TAATTCAAATACTTCCAATTATCATATCGGCATCGCGATGGAACTTGTGATCGAACAGTTAGATATTCATTCAACTACTGAAGCTTTTGAGGATTATTTGGAAAGGTTTGAAATCTGGAGTATGACCAAGAAAGATGGTAAAGATCGTGGCACATTTCCGAACATTCATCAGAAGAGAAGGGTACAGCTTACTAAAAACTTTGGCATATCTGGAAAAATCTATCTCACTTCCCTATGCAACGTTTAAGGAGTTATTATTAAATCATGTAAAGTGCACTAGTTTTGAATGCCAAGAAAGGGCGAAATTTCATAAGATGACTCGTCAGAATGACCAAAAGTTTAAGGAATTCATTCTTGAATTGCAGCAACAAGCTGTCAAATGTAATTTCGGTGATCAACTTCATGTGCAACTGAGAGACCGATTAATCGCAGGAATTAACATACCGGGTTTGGAATGAGAATTACAAAGGAAATCACAAAGGTGAGACCAAGTTTGGCAAATGTTTATCATGTGGAAAACTTCATTCTCGTAATTCATGTGCATTTCGTAATGCTAAATGTTTCAGATGTGGTAAGATATGACACATTCAAGCAGTATGCAAAGCTACTGTTTATTTTGACGCGATTAGTACTAAATCTTGTAATTTAGATCCCAATAATTCAGCTGATCCTAATGATTATTTGTCTCTGTCTACCATTTCGAAAGGTAATGCTCATATTCAAAAGCGATTATATACATCGCTTGGTTCATGTCATGACTTGAATGTGGACACAGGCAGTATAGAGTCCATTATTTCATTCAAGAACTTGAAATCGTTAGATCCTTACGTTGTGGTACGACCCACTGAAGTATCAATATTGGGGATGACTGGACACAGACTGCCTATACGAGGATGTTGTAAATTGCCAATAAGAGATGATAATTCCCTTGAGAATTTTTAGTTAGCGAAACAGGACTGTTAATACTGGGTTTAAGGAATTTGAAAAGGGTTAAAGTGGAGTTGTCTTTCCTAGTTTCTAAAGCAAATTCTGATGCTTTATTTAAAGATTTGATAGCCACGTGTGTAGAACCTGTTTTGAAGGTTTTGTTTTTGGAAAATCCCTCCATGTATATATATTTGTGTTATGATATGACTTACTCTCTCTGTTGATGTTTTGGTACTCTATCTGATTCCATTTTGAGATTTTGTCATTTGTATATTGTTATTATTTCTATATCTTGTACTTATATTGAAGTTTCCATGTTTCCTTTTGAACTATATATGTGTTGTTTAAATTTAATATTTAATATGGCTACAGCCATTTTTGGATTTGATACTCTAGCAGTAACGGACTGGAAGCAATTATTCTTCCAGAAACGGAACCTATTGTGGTAATTGGAAACTCGAAGGTAAATTATATTGTTTCGGTAATTGTATGTATTTCCCTTCTTGATTAATAGAACCGTTCTCTCCCAGAATTATCGTTTTTGGACTTGGACTGGGCAGGATGCGTATGGACCTACACTATTTAAGTTAAAGGGACACTGCAAGAGTAAATTAAAATTAATAACGTGTGCTAAGTGCAGTGGAGGTACGAAAATTCAGCCTATAAAACTTCAAGTACAGGGTGATCCAGTCTTTCTCAAAAGACGAATAATTCCTTATGGTCTTCTAGATGCAGTCCATAAGACATTGAATGATTTGTGTGCAAAAGGCATAAATGAACCGGTTCAGTCTTCCGCATGTGGTACTCCTATTGTTACGCCACTGAAATCGGATGGCAAGACTCCTAGAATATGTGGTGACTATAGACTAACCCTGAACTCCTGTTTGTTGAAGAAAACATGTACGACGGTAGAGTGTGAAGATATTCCAAATCAACTTCGTGATTCTAAAGTGTTGTCGAAAGTTGACCCAAATGATGCTTATCTTCAAATCCCTTTAGATCAATCTTCATCTGTTTCGACGAAAATAACACACCTTTTGGTCTGTTTAAATACAATTTCCTTCCATTTGGTCTAAGTTGTTCTCAAGCCATATTTCAGGAGGTTATGAATAAGGTGGTTAATGATCTTGAAGGTGTTGAAGTTTATCAAGATGATCTGATTGTTCATGGTGCTGATAAGAGAGTTCATGACCAGAGCCTTATTGCTTTATTGCGTCGTTTAATTGAGACATCCTTGTTCCAATGGTCAAACATTAAAATTTTGTCAGGACGTTGAAAACTGCTATTGATTTTATTGCTGCCTCAATATTTATTGAGCTGGAGAGAGGAGTGGATACATTTCTACTGCAATATAGAAATGCCAGACATTCGGTTACGAAATAGACTCCATCAAAGCTATTAATGGAAGAATTCTTCGGTCGAATATGAGATGTTTGGAGTCTGCAGAAGTTACATATTATCGTGGCAACGATCTTCGACCATCCACGGGGATCGTTCTGAAGAATGTCGGGAAATCTATGGTGCGACTTCTAGATATCAATGACTTAAGTACACACAATCGACATGCTGATCAAATACAATTCCAGGAACCAAGTGAGTCTGCTCCAATTTTGGTTTTTAATTCTAATACTAATGAGTGCATTATAGATAATACAGAGTCTTTATCCAATACACTGTCGGACAGACGCAGGATGAACTTGAGAAGAAGACGTACAATTGATTACAGACACTTGGATTCCAATTTAAGCTGTGGTGGTTGTGGTTTTTGAATGAACTAGTGACTTCTTGGTTGTTGAATGCCTGATTTCGAATTCTAAATACAGTACATTCTTTCGTGCTTATCTAGTATTTCTTGATCCACTTACGTTCTTTCTAGGATTATCAGTTCATGCTATTGTCGTCAGCGAGTCCGGATGCCAGATTTACTATGCTCACCACTAAATGTTCTATACGGTCACGAAAATCAAAACAAAATAAATCCATAGTTGAGTTGTTTATTGAAGGAGAACGTTGGCATTACATGGGGAGCAGAAAATAGATAAAGATGGCAGCAACGCTAAGAGAACGTTGCGAGCAAGAAGTCGAAGAAGTGTTTTTGGTTAAAAAAAACGAGTACAATAACGCTAATTTTTCACAAATCGTAGAAGTGTTCCACTACACTATATACACAAATACTTCTAATTATCATAGTACGTGAAGCCATCCCAACGTGAGCATCTTAGCTATGCATCTTATTCTTATCAACATTAGAAGTTTACACTTATTATTCTCCTCACTAAGACTAACTGATCTCCGATCTGGCAATGTGATAGCTGCCGGTATCCAGAAACCCAGCTGTCCTGAAACACACATATTCATCGAGATCACGCGACGTAGAAACTCACAACCTACTTCTAACTGACCGGAATCGGGCAGTCTAATGGCTTGAACTCCATCTATTAGACAATAGCAAACATCTGTAACCATACCGAAAGAACTAGAATCGAGCGCAAAGAAATCAAGTGGTGCATAATAAGCTCGTGAAAAAGCTATTGGCTTTATTGTATTCTAAGTTGTTTTAATAGCGGCAGGGAACGCTTGCTACAGGCGAAGAGGAAAGCCTGGCACAAGTGGAAGGTCTCCTTGAAGGATTCCGATCGCAGTTCTTACTTGGCATTGAGAAACAGATGCAATACCAAAGTTCGAAGCGACAGGAGACAATTCCAGACGATACTAGCCGCCAGAATAGAGGCAAACCCGAAACATCTGTTTAGGTTCATGTCCAAAAGAAAACCTACTAATCAAGGGTTGTGCCCCCTAAAAGGGCCTAACGGAGAAGACCTCACCAACCTAGAGATGGCCGAAATCTTCAACACCCATTTTTCTGATCAATTAAACCAGGCGCCTACATGTTCAGAGTATTACGCCAACCCAATGCCAGCTGACGGCTTAGGGAACATCCGTATCACTCCTGACCTAGTATTAAGGAAACTAAAATCCTTACGCCCAGGTAAGTCACCAGGTTGTGACAACATCCGCCCTATAGTCTTGCAACAGTGCGCTGAAGCCCTCTATTCACCGTTATGCAACCTGTTCAGGCATTCACTGGAGTCACACCAATTCCCAGCGGAATGGAAACAAGCTACTCTCTCTCCAATCTTCAAAGGAGGAGATAGAAAGGACCCAGCCTGTTACAGACCAGTCGCACTACTACCTATATTATCAAAGGTTATGGAAGGGCTAGTGGACGAACAAATGAGGGAGTACATGGATAAGAATAAAATACTCCATGAAGCTCAGCACGGGTTTCGGAAAGGCAGGTCGTGTGCATCTAATCTTCTCATCGCATGGGACAGTTGGACATCCTGCTTGGACCGTAAAATACCAGTGCACGTAGTATTTCTCGACTTCGCAAAAGCCTTTGACACAGTGCCCCACGCACGCCTAATCGAAAAGGTTGTGGAAATGGGCTTCACTGACCCGCTCGTATCTTGGCTCAGAAACTACCTTGAGAATAGAAAGTTTCGCACCAAGGTAAACAGGGTGCACGCGAGTTGGAGAGTATCCACTTCAGGAGTTTCACAGGGGACCATCCTAGGCCCACTCCTCTTCCTGATATTCATTAACGACCTGCTAAGCTTAGTTAGCTCACCGGCACTGATCTACGCAGACGATGCGAAGATCTGGAGGTCCATTAGAAGCGAAGAGGATTCGACTGAGCTTCAAAAGGACCTTACATCCATTGAGGAATGGGCAGTGAAAAACGGTTTAAAACTTAACCAACCGAAGTGCCACGTCATGCATTTCCTGCCTCATATGACGCAAACCACCTACTTTCTCAATGGAAGTCCGCTCCCTAATGTCTCCTCAGAGCGCGATCTTGGTTTAATAACCACAGAAAGCCTCCACACGAGTCCGAACTATGTAGGGGATGCAGCCAAGGCAAATGCGACTCTTCACTTTATGCGAAGACAGCTTGGTGCTATAACCCCGAAATTATTTTTAACCCTGTTTAAGACGTACGCGCGCCCACACTTGGAGGTTCACAACGTCATCGCACCCCCTATGCTTAAAAGAGACATTAATCTCTTGGATCGAGTGCAGAGACGAGCAACCAAATGGGTGATAGGGCTGAAAAATAAACCGTACGACGATAGACTCCAGCTCTTGGGATTATTCCCACTGAGCTACAGGAGAATCAGAGGTGACCTGATTATGGCGTACACCATATTAAACACGCCCAACCATCCCGATGTGAGCATCTTACCGATGCATCACCACCACTCCCCTCGAGGCAATCCTCAAAAGATTGCACATCAAAGAGCAAACACTCAGATTCGTGCACACTTTTTCTCATTGCGAGTCGTCGCAACTTGGAATGCTCTCCCAGCCGAGGTAGTTACAGCCCCCTCAGTGGACTGCTTTAAGAAGAGACTTGATAATCACGTACTCACATGCGGACTATCATCTCCCTCTTGGACAAGCTGTGCCTGATGCATATCTTGAGACCTGCTAGTTGTTACCATTGCCATCTCCTCAGATCACTTAATTAATTTAACTCACCTATTCCTCTCCCTTGCTTACACTTCGGTCCTCTCTCACAATCTTCACTACCAATTAATAAACTAAATTCATCTATATATTACTCAGTTCTGAAATTTTACTCATATTATCATTTTAATTTACCCTTATTACCCTTATTACTCTCCACATTGCAACTAACTGATCTCCGGTTTGGTAATGTGACGGCTGCTAGTATCCAGAAACCCTACTGCCCTGAAACAAACGTTTCATTCAAATCCCGAGACATACAAACTCACAACCAACTGCCAACTGACTAGAATTAGACAGTCGAGTGGCTAGACCTCCATCCATTGGACATTACCGAACACCTGGAACCGTACCGAAAGAACAAGAATCGAGCGCGAAGAAATCAAATTGGTTTACACTAGCTCGTGAAAAAGATATTGGATATTGAATATACTATTAAACCCTTAGATTTTAATTACATAATTTAAATTTGTTTAGTAACGTAACTACCTGTTTATTAGTGCGTCTTCGTGTTTCGTCCCGCAAGAAAAAAAATTAGTTTAGGCCTTTTGATATCTTGCAATCCTCGTATTCCTAACTGACAATATTGATTGTTGTTGTACAATAAATACCTAGGCTCCATAGCTTATTGCATTGAGAGAAATTCTATTCTCACTAGTGTCCATTTTTAAGCAAGTAAAGGCCAACCGTCGCGCTTTGGGAGAAACCATTGAATTTAGGTGAAGGCTCGACAATTTGATGTGGATTTTAGGCAGTTCAGCTTCAACATAGACACTGTCTGACTAAATACGTCATTACTTCATACTTTTATGCGAATAAGGCCTCATGTACTTGCATGTCACGTGTATTCACACCAAATTTTTTCAACCGATTTCGCCTGTTTCCCTCTTACGTTCCGTTCTATTGGACCTCTAGTAAATCCAAAGAACATGTTACTACTAACCTCCAGTTCAAGGATGATTTTTCAACAATTCCTAACAGCTTTTGAAAAAATCTTTAAAATATTCTCGGGATTTCGCGTTTTATGCTATGCTTTTCACTTAATTCCCATTAACCTAACCTCAACTATAACCAGTGCAAGTAAACTTAACTATTGTGATCTAAACTCAAGAAAACTTATGTCTAAATCTAGAGTTTATATCCGGTATTCCCTAATACACGAAAAACAGCTGATTCCTCCAAAACGTTCAGTTGAGTCCGATTCGTATTTCCTTCATGCCTATCCTTCTTTTTCTAGTTTTGTTGGAAATTGAAAGTGGTCGGTCTTTACCACATCCTGCATTTTTAATTAGATTTCATTCGGCGATATAACTTCAATAATTCGATATCAAACAAAAGACCGATTATTTTGTTGACTGCATGAATATGTCTAGATATAATTATCTGTTTCTTCCCGAACCCAGTTGAATTACAAGTAAGTATAAGTCATGTTATTCTTCAATGAAAAATGTTATTCTACAGAATTAGACAGTATTCAAAACTAAACTTTACGTTGGGCAAAATCAGTGAATAAGAAATAAACAGTTTACCATCTCCCATGGATGATTGATCAATACACATTCACATACCATAAATACATAAAACTAGCTTATTCACTCTTAACATGTCAAACTAGTTTCCCGTTTCTCAAATGTTATTCAACCTTATTTATCTTCACAATAAATGATCATTTATGAAGAACTTGACCAAACAAATAATAAATTAGTTATCAATGAATTATTGTTGAGTATCAGCCGGATCGATTTATTTTTATTCTGGTACATTCATAATCATTTTCTTCTGTACAACAGAATCTAGTTGCTTTATTGTACACAACTTACATACTGGTATAGAGAATACACTTAATAGTTATATAATCTCAGAAAATATCCTTAATTAAATTAGATTTTTGCCTACCTATAAAGTAACTATTATTATTACTTCATATATACGTGTTTTAAAATAGGTAAGTTTAAATTCTTAGCATATTTCACTACCTAATATGCTTCAATGTTTAACCATATGATTTAAAATATTTACTCATTTTCAAAACATAACTGCTCTTATTATTGCTGAAATATTCACCGAATAAGAAGTCAGAATTCGCCATGATACTAGTATTTAATCCGTTCTTCTAAACCTATTCACAAGTCTATGATAACAACTAAAAATTCTATAGTGCACTACTAATCAAGGCATTTTCATATAACTCATTGTATAGTTTCATTGTTCCTAACAATAGGAATCTGTACGAGTTACATAAACCAGATAAAGCATAACCCGTTTGATGAAACTGTTACTTGATATTTTTCAGTCTCGGGTTGTGAAGATTGTTGAATTCTACTGAAACAGAAAACTGATGTAAGTTAGACAATCGTCCAGAACTTGAAATCACTAGACACTCATTTCGTCCTGGTGTGGTACTCCTCAACAGTGCGCACTTATGACCGCGTGATCGTGAATCGAACCTAGAACCTCTGGTTTCGCGTGTGGACGCTTAACCTCTAGATCACTGAGCCAGGATCTAAGGTGTTTATATTTAACCTATACTTACATCATTTAACCGCGGATCAATGGTTTAAAGACTAGGCGTTCGCACATGAAATCGAAGGTCCTGGGTTGGACTCCTGGATACGGGGTCGTGGATGTACACTTCCAAAAGGAAACATACTAGAACGAAATGTCCTGCCAACGCTACCTGGCTTCGAGTGATTGGTTTGTGGTCTCAATAAAATCAACGATACCTTAATAATGAGATAAAAATGAGTTTTATCTTTTTTTATATTACTTATCGTTGTAGCTTTTGCGTGCATAGATTTTTACAACTCTCTTGTGTGGTGAAGATTTTTATCCCACTGCAAAAATCACATAGCAAAATACTCATGCTTGTATAAGTGCTGAATATACCTTGTAATATTAAACACGCTTTCCCCTATGTGTTTATTTGGAAATTTCTTTTGGTTTCTTTTAAGTACAAATATTTATAATCATTTTGTTCCTGTATCTTGTTGCTCAACTAAAACTGATGGTTCAACTGGATTCCCCTTACAAATTTATCGTAATAAGAAACGTTGTCAAAATTGGCAATATGGTCCACCAACATTTCAAAACGGTTCACATAATGATGCAGTATATTATCGAGTAAATTGATCAATATTCTGTTTGCTGTTTTTAGTTTCTCTTGGTGATATATTTGAACATACAAATAATCTATTTGTCAATCGTCAATATTTTATTGAAATTGTCCAAATAGATATAACAAGGCTAGAGATGTATCACATTTCATCATAAACTAATTTGGGTTTTTTAGCAGAGAATTTGCTGATGACACAGTGCTACTCGGTGAGGACGCTGGCAAAATGCAGAGTCTTCTGACTACCCTACGCAAAAATGCAAGCATATTCGGAATGTGGTTTCCTTCCTCTAAATGCAAAATGTTGCTTCAAGATTGGGTTGCATCGGCACCAGAACTAGTGATATGGAGTGAAGTAGTCAAACGTGTAGACCACTTCACTTATCTTGGAAGTCTCATCAGTGCTGATGGCCTGGTGTGTGACGAAATCTCAGCACGGATAAAGAAGGCTCGACTGGCTTTTGCCAAACTGCGTCACCTATGGCGCAGGCGAGATATCCGTTTGCTAACCAAAGGACGAATATTCTGCGCAGAATAAGCATTGCTCGTATATACTGGCACAACCGAGGAAGCAATGCTGTCGTTAGGAAACGAGTACAAGGTAGGGATGGTAGATCAATAGATGAAGTATTGAAACTCCATCAGTTGAGGTGGTTGGGACATGTGTTACGTATGCTCAACCACCTACGCCTTGTCAAGCTATGTTTTGTGGTGTAGGTGTATGGTTGAAGAAAGCTAGGTGCGGCCGAACGAAAACATGGC